TGTCCAAACGTGTGACCCGAGTTTAAAAACTTGAACATACAAGTGTAATTCCACTTTAATTCAAAATAAAGATTTCAAATTTTCGAGCACTATTCAATTAAGTTTTTTTTGTAAACTTTAGATTTTGGTTCTGCGCAAAAACACTGTGGCGTAGCCGGAGTTATATGCACAAGAAATATTGTATATGTATCTTTCCCAATAGAAGCGGAGCTTCCTCCCCTACTCTTTCCGGAAATTCTTTTACCTATTCACTCTCCTGCATCAGAACGACCAACCGCACAAGTTGCCTTTTGTTGATTACAATTTATGATCTGTAACTCAGACACATACATACATATGTATATTTCACAATTTTTTACAACTTCCAGTTCTATTGACTTACTTTTTATCCATTATAGTTCCACTTTCTTATGCAAATTTTATAAACGCATACTCCAACGACTAAAAAACAGCAATAGAAGGATGAGCGATTAAAAAGTATTCACAGTCGCTAACTGAGCGACTAAGCGACACTCGCAATAGCATCGTTAATCGATAATCGCTTAATAGTCGTTTATCTACTGCCAGTCGACATTCGCAATAGGGGTGTTTCTTAATTTTAAATTTACTTTTAAGAAAACTTCATTCAGTGCAATTACTACGATTTGAGTTTTTCAGTTTATAGAAACACAAGCGTTAATTATGTTCTTAACTATTGATATTATTCTTAATTAGGCATTGATATAACACTTCACCTACATTTTGTTCATAACACATAATTACATATATTTTATCCTCGAAAAGAATTTTTTCTAATTATGAGGCAAAACTCCCCACAGTTAGTGTTGGCGTGCGCGCAAAACGAAAACGCTGCACACAACCCAAAAGTACTCCTCGGGGACCAATTGGTACAAATGCAAAGAAGAAAATATAAGAAGTGATCGTATTTATCACATCTGATTTTATTTAGATAAAATAAAAACTAATGTACTTACCTGTAATATTTATTATATATATAGATTGGCGCTTACGCATATGTTAGTGTTTGGCCGAGCTTCTCCTTTGATCTGTGGCGTGCACCTTGATGTTGTATCAGAAAGGGGAGGGACCTACAGTTTTACGCCGACTCCGAACGGCGATTGTATTTTTATGAGAAGCTGTTTTTCGTGGCAGAAATACATAAGTACACTCGGAGGTTTGCCATTGCCTGCCGGGAGCGATCGTTGTTAAGAAAAAACCTTTTTTCTATATTTTTTTTGCGATGTTGCTTTGACCAGGGCTTGAACCCAGGCCCTGCGGAGTGGAAGCGGGCACTGCTCACCACTACACCACAGCGGCCGCCAATAGATTTATTAGACAAACAATATAATAAATTCTGTTGTATAGACGAACTTAAAATCACACTTCAAACATTTTGCAAAATTTATTTTCGACCACTTCGTTAGTTCACTGTCAACTAAGCATAAACCTCAGCAGGCTGCGGCGATATTTAAATGCATTTGGGAACGATATACAATTGAGTAGTCCACTTGCAAAGTGCGCTATGTAAAATTTTTTCGATTTTTAGTTTTTGGTGGATTACGTACCTGTATTTAAAGTAGTTTCATGTCCACTAACAACATAGTGCAAAATCTTTTTATATTCTGAAAAAATAGCATCAAATGTTAACTCTTCTTCCAAAAGTCGCTATGATACTTATTCAAAAACTTTCAAGAGTATCCATCTTCTGGTAAACTTTGGTCGGATAGACTGTTAATGTTATCTTATGTCATGTTAGGTTATGTTATAATTTTATAAGGCTCCTATTTATCAATATTTTCAGGTAATAGTAAAAAAGATTCAATTTAAATATTACTTGTTATCGTAGTCATTTTTTCAAATTTATGGCTTTCTATTATAAAATCACATAACGCTGTTTGCAAGTGGACTACTCAATTTAGCTTGTAGACAAATTGGTTTCGGGTTGCGCCATTTTCAGTATCATTTGGCGCTAAGGTTTTTATTCCATTCCACAAATGTTGGAACATAATTGACAATTAAACCATGTCGCCCAGTAATCATCTAAATCAAATCACACAGTACATACAAATACAAAACAAGATGACACAGAGCCATGTTTGTATTATACATTGACTTATGAATTTTCTCAATTGAATATAATTTTAACTGATACACTATTTCTTTATAGCATTTTTAAGAATGATATGCTTTGTTTTTTTAGCGTTAATAATTAATATGATACATTTCATTATTACATAAATTATAAAATTTACGACTAGACTACTTATACTAACACTTCATACATTTTCTTACAGAAGTAATTATTTACCAAAACACACCTTAAATCAATGCTATCCCTAAACAAGCGCGCCCAGCTTTACAAAAACAAGCATTTTTATTGCCCTTTAGCGTTTTGAAATAAGCATGCTGATATTTTGGCATCGACAACTTATGCTATGATACTAATAAACGTTTTGTACTCATATTTGTATTACTTGACGGTAATTCGTAAGCGACTCCACCCCATTGAAGTTTGTAAGTTCGTTTTCGCCATCTGATAGCTGGATTCCAAAGCGCATGCAGAAATAAGTAAGGACCACTTATCTCTCTAAACAGCCAACCAATAACGAACTCAAACTTGTGAAACGATAGTGAACCGTTCTTTACATGAGGAAATAAAAACAATGAAATCAATATTAAAATAGTTCAATAAAATATGACTTATACTGCATACAAATGTATAAGATACCTGCACTATGGAGAGTAATATCCAATCTGATAGAAACCACGTGAGTACATGCACTAAGTAAAATACTAATGGATCCCAATTGAATAATAGCGACGCCGACCACGAGGCTAAGGCGCCCAATACCATGCATTCAGAGAGCGGTTCTAGCAGTATTGTTGTCGGTACCATGGCCACGCGCAATTTCGCCCAGCGTATGAGGCGTTCTTGGAAACTGTTTATATCACATATGCCACTATTCTGCAATGCGGGTTGATTACTTATATGCATTTTCCATCCTTTATCCCGTATTGCTTTAGCGATAAAGAAATCTTCAGCTAAATAACATCCAAATGTTTTTAATCCGCCTAGTTCATCAATTACTGATTTTCGTAGCAAACAAGACATTCCAGTATGGCAATTGATGCCTAAAATATCAGCAGATAAGTAAATTCGAGACTGTACTGTACCGAAAAATATCTGAAAAGGTAAATTTTTAAATAAAATTAAAATAGTCATTGTCATACTGAATGAATAAGTTTGGCAAGCATCACTTTGTGTAGGGTTGGGCAGCAGAGAGGGGGCAGCGACTGCGCTGCTGCTAATGGGCACAAAGGGCGTTGTATATTAGTATTTCTTTTACGGATGCTAGACGAATTAGAGTATACACGCTTTTATCGGAGAAGCGATTTTTATTTCGTGATTTAATTTCATTCTCAAGACGTGGCATACCTTTAACCTCTTGGAATCCACCTGTCAGACTACCAGACAAATTTGATCAAAAGTTGATATAAAGCTCCCACTAGGTTTAACCACATCTCGCAGATTAATGGTCGGGATTAGAGATGGGCCCGGAACTAAATACTAAATTCTGATCTCGACATTCAATTTTTACGTCACGTACACGACGTTTTTCAGGTTGGTACCGCGGGTCCTGTGAGTCCCGAGTCCATCACTAAATAAAATTCACATGACTGTGGAATTAATTTTAAATAATATACTTGAATACATTTTTCAAGAAAGATTCTACCATCGTCATACTGAAATATCTGTAATTTTCTGATTACTCTGGTAAGGAAGATTTTCCGAGTTTTTGGAAGTCGCGGGTGGTGTCGGGAGTATCGGAAAATTTATTTTTTCAGTCCCGCCGGTAAAATTTTAAAGACCTTCCCGATACTGCCTTCCTTAGCCATTTAAAAATTAGTACCGTGGGTCCCGATATTTCGCATCCATTTCTAGTCGGGATAATAAATAACTGGACACTGACTTATGGGTGCGGCAAGATTCGCTCGCGAACGCCTGTAAATACGATCTTCTCCTACGCCATAAATACTTGGGCAAACGAGCGTTAGAAAAAATACTGCCTACGTTTTCGTTGGTAAGAGATCGTATGCAAAGAGTTTATGTATACATATTGCAAATGAACGAGCGTACGAAAGCGATAGGGGTCTCTCGCCCACGAAAACGTAGGCAATGCTTTCTCTAACGATCGTTTGCTTAAGTATTTAGCGCAGTAAAATACAATCGCAAAATGAGCTAATATGAGAAAATTTTATTTGTAATCGTTCGTTGGTAGAGCGGGGGTAAAAAAATCTTTGAATTTAGTATATTTTGATACGTATACGTTTCCATAAACAGGCAGAGTGCACGATGTATTAAATTTCTGGATATTACGGTGCAAGTTCACAAATGCAGCGGTGTACAGACCTTAGATGTTTATGTACGTGTACAAGTTCTGAACCAAAGTATTTAATATTTCAGTAAAAAAACTAGGATAAAAGAAAATCTTAATTTCTGCCTGTTTCGCATGTACACTCGCCAAAACGGTAGCAGGTATTGAATTACTAGCAAATAGAATGAAGGCCTTTTTTCACACAAAGTGGTTAAACTTCTACAAAGTGGTTATTATTGTACAAATTTGTATACCTAAGTTTCCTTCAAGAAATTAACTTCAGTGTCTAGCATACTAGCAAGCCAATAGAATATAATGATTTTTTCAGCGCAGTATTAGACAATGTTACGGATTTCCCTAATTAAAGGTTCTTAAAGTATGAAATGTTAAATACATATGTATATACATACAGGCATTTTTTTCACACAAAGTGGTTAATTTGCTACAAACATACAAACTTCCATGCATACATAAATAATTTATCCTCCAGACGAACGCTCGCGATCGTTCAAAAACTCAATCTGCACCATCCGAGTAACTGCTTGCAGCGAAATCTTCTCTTTCGCATTCTTTACGAACATTGATATTGCTCGTAAGAGATCGTAAATGCTTTTGTTCGCAGCGCAACATTATCAATCTCGAAAAACTGGAAGCACTCAATACTTGGCCGCGACTGGTTGTGAGAAAGATCGTATTGTAATCGTTCTCCGCACCCTGCTTATGGGCACGCATGGAAAGAGGGCGAGATACCCAACCGCAGCTGCAGAGATGAGGAAGAAAAGGAGAGAATCGAACACCATTTCAGCTTTGGTTCTGCCATGGCCACGACGCGCAACCAATTCTTCAACAAGTACTTTTTATATTGTCTAGCTCACCCAACTCATTTATTTATTTATATTTAGTATAATTATAATCTAGAAAATATAGAAGCTTCTTACAGATTATTATGATAACACCAAACAAGAAAAGACGTTACTTTAACAATTCATTTAATTATAATTTAAACCGAGCTCTTCGTTCTAGTGATAAAGTGTCGTGATTCCGAAGACTTCTCGTCGTTATCTTAAAGTAAATGCGTTCTAGTAAGAATGGACAGCCAACCTCAAAAAGTGTCAAAGCCAAATGTGAGCCCGAGTATAGTCCTTCTAGAGTTTAAAGATTTTAAGTTGATTAGCTGCCGCCTAGTACTATAATGAGGAACCGGATCGGTAAAATGTAGGAGCGTAGGGCACACCGAGTAAACGTTTTTGTGTTGGTCCAAGCCTCCTTATAGGACAGTCAAGATATGGTCTCCAGATGAAGGTAGCGTATTATAATTTAGATCGTACAAGTGATGTAAATAGGAGTTTCAAAGTGTAAGGATCACTAAAATCTGAACTAAATCGGCCAATGAAGGCAAGCATAGAATATGACTTCCAATAGTTCAGTTTAAGTGGCTCTGTAACAGGAATTTACAGTCGAAAACCGCACCGAGATCGGAAATTTCACCCACTGTGCTTAGCCGCAAAATACCACTTTTTCCTAACAATGAGTTGTAATAATTTCGAAGCGTTGACAATTTAGAAATTGGTCGATAGTTGCTAGCGTTATTCTTACCACTTTTGAAAATATGAGTGATAGAGGTGACCTTCCAGGCATCAATAAACACACAATCCAGTGATTTATTGAAAATTAATAAGAGCGAGTACGCAAATGCAGAACAGTTCTTTAAAAAGTAAGATAGTGCATCTGCGTCGGTTTGGCAAGAGGATTTGATGTGCAAAATAAAATCAACCACGTCATCGAGCGTTACAAAGAGGGCACCTAAATTAAGTGGGGATTCGCTGCTATCATCCGACAAGAAGTCGTGAACTAGATGCGAGTCAGGTTCAAATTTAGAGCTAAAGATATCAGCGAAAAGGTTACCAGCTTCCGAAAATTAGTACGCATAGTTTTCATTATGGAAAACAGTCGAGGGAATGCTGCAGGAGGGCCTAGGGATGGCATTGATGTCACATTCAAATTTATGAACATAACTTTTGTGAAGAGTTTTACCAAGAGCTTTAAACTCGCTCAAATTACACAGGTATTCACACCTATGAAGTACGGAGTTAGTCTACTCGATTTTTTGGAATTTTTTCTCAAATTCTTAACTCAACTCAACTCTTCGGCATACTACAGAATTTTGTAACATTTTTTAACTAGCGGAATAATATTCATGCAAATGTCAGTTATCTTAATTTTAAGAAAAATTCCGCTAGATTAGTCTCAGATAATACGTAGTCCAAGAGCCCACGCAAATTCACTACGATCGATGAACAGAGTAAAATGTTTTTTAACTGCTAGTACTCACAGTATCTATCCATAATATAATTTAGTACCTAGAGTCTGTTCTTCTTCTTCTTATTTGGCGCTGTAACAGCCTAAGCGATTTTGGCCGAGTTCAACAAAGCACGACAGTCGTTTCTTCGTCTTCATCTGCCACCAACAGCTGGTTCCGAGTTGAATACTTTCAGAGCTGGAGCGGCTGTGTCCATTCGAACGACATGGCCAAGCCAGCGGAGCCACTGTATTTTAATTCGCTGAACTATGGTCATGTCGTTTTAAAGCTCATACAGCTCATCATTCCATCGTCTGCGGTACTCGCCGTCGCCAACGCGGAAAGGCCCGTAAATCTTCCGCAAAATCTTTCTATCGGATACTCCAAGAGCCGCCTTATTACATGTTGTCATTGTCCATGCTTCTGTACCATATACCAGCGGGCATGATGAGTGACTTATAGAGTCTGTTCCTTTAAACTTCGGACTAAAACCTGTGGAACTGCCTCAAGTGAGAGTAAAAGGAGAACAGATGCAGAAGTGCACGTGAACGCAAAAAGCACTATTTCCTGTAAAAACGTCAGTCGGTTTGTTTAAATGTCATTGGTACAACACTGATTTGGCTGAAATATCACTAAATAATTATTAAAACCTATAAATATTCAATCATTTCTTTGCTTACTTCCATCTTTTTACAAATATAAGGTTCTTTTCTTTCGCCGCTTTCGGTTTTTGTTTGCACATGCAAATCAGCTGATCGTTTGACACTTTTCAACTAAATCCTGTAACTTCTGACTAGGAATAGTTGCTCAGTTACTCTCTCAAAAGTGTTCCCACTCACAGGTTTTACGTCAATAGGAACGACTTCCTATAAGTTCTGACTAAATCCTGTAAACCGGACTACTATTGAAACAGACTAATAGAGTGTGGTTTTCGTACGTCGAGAGAGGACTTTACTCCTTGTTGGCTAGAGCGATTCTGCGTTCCATGCTGACATTATTATCGGTGTTAATGCTGTTTTCCAAGTAAACCAAATTCTTCACTTTCTCGAAATTATAACTGTCAACAGTCACGTGGGTGTCCAGGCGCGAATGTGCCGACTGTTTGTTTGATGACACGAAATACTTCGTCTTGGCCTTGTTTATCACCAGACCCATTCGCTTTGTTTCCTATGCAACTTGGAAAAGGCAGAACAAACTTCGCGGTTTTTGTTACCGATGATGTCGATGTCATCGGCAGAAGCCAGCAATTGCACGCTCTTGTAGTAAATTGTTCCTGAGCGGTTCAGTTCTGCAGCTCTATCATCTTCTCCAACATCAGATTAAAGAAGTCACATGAAAGTGAGTCGCCCTGTCTGAAACCACGTTTGGTGTGCGAACGGCTCGGATAGGTCTTTCCCAATTCTGACGGAGCTAGTGGTATTGCTCAACGTCATTTTATACAGCCGTATCAGTTTGGCGGGGATGCCAAATTCAGACAACGGCGTATAGGAAACTCCTTTTAGTGCTGTC